AACTACTTACAAATCGTTTTAAAACTAACAACAGCATCATCGTTCGAGTTTTCCAAATCCTGTATAAAGTCGCGCAACCGATGAGCTCGAAACGATCCATTCGAATCCAGCCATGCTACACCGAACGTTGTATGGCGAAGAAAATGTGCGACAAGAGCGTAACATAACTAAAAGAAGTTTATAAGTTTATAGTGATTGAAATACGTCGTTTTTTTCTACTTAAAACTAGGAAAATAGTTGGTTTCGCGCTACTGATCCATTTACGGCATAAGTTTGGTTTTGTTATGACAGTATGCCGTAATCTTCCGTCATACTACGCCGTTTTGGGCTTTTTCACAAATTCCGCCTGTTTTGCTCATGTTTCAACAAGTGTCGATTTTTCGATATTAGTTAACGGCGAGAAATCGAAGGCAGAATTGGCGGAAAAGGCGCGCGTAGTATAGTCGATTCCTAGCACAAAATAACAAAAACGCTCACAGACGAAGATTCGACACGCTGACGCTCTGAGTTTCAAGGCGGAAAATTCAAAAATGAGGTTTCTGCAGCCTTGAAGGGTACTGTGTAATTTTTTCATAGATTTCTTTATATCTCTTTTTCAGGCAGAAGGTGCCAGCTTAGTACTCAAGTAGTGTTTAGTTGCTTATCTCGTATGATACGTAGAACAAATGGTCCATTTCCTCGTATTTTCGTTTCTTTTTCTGCCTGTAATGTAAGAAAGGCAAACAGAACCTGCTTGAGTAGTCAGCTGGTACTACTGCCTGAAGAAGAAAAGAGATATAAAGAATAACCACTAAAAACCCGCGTACTACCATCCACGACTGTAAAAGCAGCTGATTTTCGAATTTAGCTCGAAACTCAGAGGCGCCGTCGCGCCGCCCCATTGTCTGCAAACGTTTTTGTCATCTTATGTTAGTATAGGAATCAATGTGAAATTATGTTAGGAAACTATACGGCGGCAATTAGTAGGGCGATTGAGGGCGCTTCCATACTTAAATCATCCGACACTGATAGGCGGTTATTAGATACACGGCAATATTTTACGCCAAATAAGGGCCAGGACAGAAACTTCTCAAGTATGGAAGAACGACTTATGTGAGCTACAAATAACTTTCTATGCTCCCGCGTGGTGTTGTTAATTGTCTAGGATCGGTCAACCGCATTCACCGGTTCGAGTATGGAGGCACGCTACGCGACGCGTGCTTTTTGCTGCCTTTGGTGGGAAGTAGCATCGCGCAATGAACATGGAGAGGCAGAAGCAGCGCTAACACGTTTGGGTTATCTACACAATTGCGGACAGTACACTACCTGCGCGTTGGTTCCAGAGGAAACTATCAAAATACAAGCATCCAGACACCAAGAGAAACAGAAATGGGCTCGCCTGTGTTTTTCCAACGCCA